TGCCTGCTGAGGTGAGGGCAGCGGTCTGTATTTTTATCTGGGCAGTAGTTACACACACACACAGAGTTACCCAGCATACACGTAAAATTACTGCACTTTACTATATGTATACCACATGCAATTTTTTAAAGGAGGAAAGAGAAGAAGAGGAGAAGAAAAACGGAGAGGAAAAGGAAAAAATGACTAAGAAACCTGCGGTGGGGTGGGCGTAAGGAAAATTCTAGAACTTGGGTCCAGACAGAAGTCTAAGCATTGTAACTGTGCCCCCCTCCCTCTCCTTCCTGAGCGCATGACCCATGTGAGCCCTGGAGACTGGGGGAGACTTGTACCCAGGCAGAGACTGTGAAGAGGTTCCGCTGGCACCCACGTGGCCAGAGAGGGCAAAGGCAGAACGACCTGCGATCCCAACAGGGGAAGGGAACGCCTGTGGGGACTGAGAGAAAGGGGTTGTCATTAGGAAGCCCTCGGCTCAGAGCTGCAGGAGCTAGAGGTCAAGATGGACCAAGGCACGATAAGGTTTGCTGCCCCCATAATGTCTGGAAAGTGCCCTGGATGCACACTCAGCGCAGTGGCAATCCCTAAGGTCACCCCTACCCTCACAGCCTTGCTCACAGGCATACCGTGCCTACCGAAACAACTCAGCCATGGCTCCTTCCCCGCTAATTGCTAATGAAACAGTTGGGCTAACTAGAGAAATAAAGTGCCTAACTTCAGATGACGCCAGACTCCAGCCAGTGTGAACAGTGACCGCAGGCATGCAGGCCAAACTCTCCTCCGTACTTGTCTCAGTGCTGGCTCATTTCAATGTCTTCACAAGCAAATTTAAATTGAATATTTTTCCCCTCATGTTCCTTTAAAAGAGCAGGAATGGTTTGAATGAAGACAAATAAGCTCCGATAGCTACCTGATGAAAGGATTCAGAAGAAAAGATCTGGGGCAAGGAGAGGAAATCTCGGGATAGGTAGCAACAGTGTTTCAGACATAGTTTGGATGATAATGTTGGATACAAGCGGATGAGCCTGAGGAGAACGTGGTCGCCTGGGCCACGCAGCGCCACTCCTGCTCCTGACCCGTCTTGTCTCGGATCAGCAAGCCCGTCAGGAAGCAGTGCCCCAGCCATGGCTTTCAAAGATACAGCACTGGAAAGACCCCTGTTGGAACCAGTGGTTGCGATTCACCAAACTAGAATCACTCTAACCAGAAAGTCCCTGGAGAAAGTATGTGCTGACCTGATCAGAGGTGCAAGCGGAAGGACCAGTGTGGATGCCTACCAAGACTCGGAATCACTTCTTCCCCTGTGGGGAGGTTCTGAGACTGGCGACCTTTTCAGCTGAGGATCCGCAAGCGACTCATTGGCTTGTACAGCCCTCCTGAGCGTGCGAAGCAGATTGCTTCCATCAGTATTGAGCCAGGAGTCGAGGTTGAAGCTACCATTGCAGATGCTTAAATCAACCTTTTAAAATAAACTATCAGTTATTTTAAAAAATTGATGAGAAAATTAGTAAAAATGGGATGTTCAAATAGCAAATTCAGGCAAAAGGAGACGCCAATCAATACCATCAGTTTATGTCACAGAACTGCAGAAATATCAGGAATCGAAGGTGGTGCAAGGTAAGGGGCTGAGGAAAGGCAAACTCCTAGGGGGAAGCATGTGTGAAGACACTGGTGTCCTTTCTGCCTTACCCGGGAGCCTGATGATAGCCTACTTGTCACTGATGCGGGAGAGTTCATTCTGTAGGAAGACGGAACCAGAGAGCAAAACAAACAAACAAACAAAAACCCAAGTCCTGAGGACGTCACTCACAGGGGAAGGCAGAGGGGTGTGCCGCACTTCAGTGAAGGAGCCAGTTGAGGTCCACCCCCCACCATGAGCCCCTTAAACCACTTTGCTCAGAATGAGTTAACTTCACCCCCGACCCCAGCAGGAGGAAGTGGTTGCCCTGAGACATCTAGATGTTGTTGGAGGCAACTAGGTTCTTCCACAAGATCACAAGGAGCATTCCAAGGACCCATTCATGGGAGGTTGGGCAGTGGCAAGGTGGTTTATTCATGTGGAAATAGAAGCTGCCCCCTGGGCTTCCAATGTCCCATCTCCCTCTGTCCCACTGTGGAAAAGTCCGGTCTGGTCTTCAGTAGGGCCAGGTTGAAGGCCACTGCCCAGAGTCTATGCTGCATATGGAAGTCCAGTCCAGCATCCCGCATCCGGCCAGCATAGCATGTGTTTCTAGCAGCAGTCTGTGGCTGTGAGCCTGGTGTGGAGATGCACGCCAATGGGCCACATGGCTGGAAGGGCCACAAAGCCACGGAGAGCACAGGTGCATGTACCCTGGGACTGTGGGTCACAAGCGAGCGAGAGAGAGACAGATAGAGAGAGAGAGAGAGAGAGAGAGAGAGAGCGCGCGCACACACACACACACACACACACACACACACGCTTCTTGTTCCTCTGGGATTATATTAGCTTGGGCCAGGTGCCTTCTGAAACAAATCAACTCCTTAAACTTTCATGGGCTTTTGGATGGGTTTATACCCTCCGCTTAGACCAACAGACCTCTACAGTCCAGCACACTGCCCCCGAGCCACCCAACAATCCAGCACTGCAGGGGGGAATGGAGGAGTGTCAGTCCCCTTGGTGGAGCACAATGCTGTCGTTTCCTGGGGTGTGAAGCTGTAGCTTCCTGGTGAAGCAAACAGGCTTATGTTCCCCAGTTTATTAAGCTCAATGTCTAGTTGCCTTTGCTCCCCTTTTCGGACAAAGTGCCAACAGTAATGCAGAGGTGTCACTGACAGACACTGACACTGGGGAGCTCTCCATCAGAAGAGCCAACTCCCACCCAGCCACCCCAGGAGTTCGCAAGCCCCAGTCACCATGCATTTTCAAAGGAAAGTCTCCACAGTGATGACAAGCTCAAGCAGGCCAACACCAGAACCAAGGAAACAAACAAATGCAAGGACCAAAGAATAATTTGCTCACTCTGAGAGAGATAAAAAGTATTGCAACTGTGAAATGAGATTAGGAGGCTATAAGAAATTGGAGAGCTCTTATAAATTATGATTGCTAAATGAAAAAATATTACAAAGTACAGCTGGATTTAGAATGGAGGAAATCTCTTGGAGAGCAGAACAAATAAAATTTAAGAGATTGATAGAAGGAAAAAGAAAGAAGATCAATGAAGCCAAGAAGCCCACAGCCAACTAATAGCATTTCCAGAAAGCAAAAGGCAGATATAGAAAAAATTATCAAGAAGATTGAACAATAAAATCCCCAGAAAAAAAAAGAACACGATTTTCTAGATTGAAGGGGTCTACTGGACCGCAGCACAATGAATTAAAGAAACCTCACCAAGAGTCACTATTGCGAAAACTCAAAAGACCTGGAAAAAGATCCTAAAAGCCCAGAGAAACAGCAGATCCCATTCAAAGGACCGAGATTCAAATGGCCCTGGACTTCCCAACAGCAATGCTGAAACCCTGCAAGAATTTTCCTGCCGCTCCACACCACCCACTCATCACCTCACATGCTCGCTCCACATTTTCCTGATTCTGGTTGTGGCCTTAACTAGTAGCTTCCACCCCGGGGTCTGTATTTTGGAAAGAACAGGTCTTCTGGTTTGTTTCCAGCACTCTGAGAATGCCCCAAGTGCACGTAGCTCACTGGTTCCCCTGTCTTCTTCGCTGCAGTGCGATCGATTGATCAGTAGCTCAGAGTCTCTCACCCTCTGAGTCTGTTTCAAATCTCTGCACTTTCTCCCTTTCGTAAGTGGAAATGCGCATTCTCAACCTTTCACAGTGGGGGCCCTCCGACATTTCATGGTACTTTTATTTTTAAAAATTCCTGTGGCTTGTGCTTGCTGAGTTGGCAACTTCATTTTTAGAAGAACTTCGTGTCATCTCTAAATGTGAAAGTGCACCATGCATTCTTTTCTTCATCCCATTTGTAAAGCCACTCATAAAGACATATTCCATTACCTGGCCCACAGCCCAGGCATATGCCCTGACTGGGAATTGAACTGGCAACCTTTTGGTTTGCAGGCTAGTATGTAATCCACTGAGCCACACCAGTCAGGGCATATGGCTTATTTCTGATCGATAACAAAAAATGTGTCCTGATTGACCTGGGGTGTTTGGTGTCTACTCTTGTCTGAATAAATATGTATTGGTGTCTTTTAAGGTATGTTTTATATTGCTCAAACAATGTTAGCTGGCAAGTCAAGAATGACTTCCTCTTTTGAAAGATCTTAATTATTTAAATGTGTTAACAGTTTCGGTAACAAGCCAATCCCTTATTATTAGTCCTTCTCCACATGGGTGTGAGACTTGCCAAGGCCCCACATCAGGGCCCCAGACCCTCCGCACCCCACCGCCCCCTCCTACCCGCACAGGGGCCCCTGTTCAGCGTGCATTTGCAGTTACAGCTTACATATTGGGACAAATGACTTCCTAGTTTTATCATTGAGCTCCTGACTAAATGATAATATAAGCACATCGGGTTTCATGTATCAGGCAAATCCAGGTAATGCCAACGCCCTAGAAATATTTCTATGAATCAGTCATCCATTGTCTATAAATGATAAGATTCACTGGGGTTGAGCTCGTATGTGTTCTGAAGATCCGGCGCTTGGGTCGAATCCACCACACTCCTCCACAGGCACGCAGCCATCAGCGCCAGGCAGCCTGCCAGGGTCAAGCCTGGACAACCCCATCTACCGCCCAGGCACCCGCACCATGCACCTGTGGGCCTTCCCAGTCCTGCCTTTGCCTCCATCTCCACCACTGTTCCCCACCCAGACCGTGGTCACCCCCGCATCTTTGTACCTGAACGGGGTGCACACCAACGTGCAGTATCGATCATGTCACCCTGTGCGGGTCCTGTTTGCCCAGACAGATGGAAGCTACTAAAGGGCGGGTGCCATGTCTCCCACGTCTTTGAAGCCCCATCACTCAATAACTGTTTCCAAAAAGTGGCAAAAGTCAAAACGTTTACAGTACCTAATGTATTTGCCCACAGACTTTCTTTTGCTACAAAAGAGCATCTAGTTTACCACGTCTGAATTGTGTAATGGTGCACTCATTAGCAAGTGTGAGCAATGCCTCATTAAGATCCTCGGGAAAGGATTAGGAAATCCACGGTTGGAAGGAATTTTAGGGTAGTTGCTTTTGGACTTCTTCCCACGAAATCCTGGGATAAATAGATGTATTTTTCTGTCCTCCTACTTTTATTTTTCAGCCTAAGAGGTTGCAGAAAGATGGAGACCCACAGAAGAAAGAGTGAGAACGCCAGTAACTGAGAGCACGAGATAAACAGGCTCTTTGCCTTCCATTTGGTAATGAGGAGTCCTCCATTCACTGAGGCAAAGTCACATTAGCAGCTGTAGGCTTTGCCATGGACAAAAAACACTACAAACCAGGCTAAAAATTTCCCAAACTGGCAATTTAGCAGCAGTCCAATGTCGAGGACGCTGTCTCACCTTAGCCTGGGAAAACTCAGGGAGGAACGGGGCACGGAACCCCGAGAGCCCGCTGGGGACGTGCCAGAGGAGATCAGGCAGCAGATGCAGTGAGGTTTGTCAGCCACCCCACTGGTTTCAGGGGCACGTTGTGCTCCCACTTGCCTCTGGGAAGTGAGTCACCCCTTGCAGAACCTGTCATAGCTCAAGTTCAGTCAGCCTCCCAGAAGCCTGGGAGAAAGTGTCACTCTGTCCTCCCACAAAACCTGGGCCATCTGAGGCATCAATACGTGGAGGGGGAGTCATGGGTGCCACAGGTGAGGAGAGAACTGGGGCTGGCATGGGGGAAGGGAGGTTAAGAGACACCTGGGGGAGAAGGAAGGGAAGCCCACAGTGCTCTGGTTCTAGGGAAAGGGGTGGTCGTTGAAGTCCGAGCCTCAGAGACCCACGTGTGACAGGCCAGGGACCACCTTCTGCTGCTACTCCTCACTGCCGGGCTCCTCGTCGCTGTCCTCCCCCAGAGGAAACGCCCTTGTGGGCTTCTGGACCTCGTGCTTCCGGGTCTCCATGGGGCAGTCCTGGCCCAGGATTGCCTGCAGCGTGGGGCAGGGAGAGAAATCACTGCCCATCTCCTCCTCAGGCTCCGCACCTTCCCAGCCAGCTCACCCAAGTCTAGTGCTGCTGAGGAAAGACTCCAGGAAGAAGCATAGGACCCTCTTTCTGCTTCCTGTGTGTGCACAGGCCTAGTCAAGACAAACATCTGATATCCTGCCATTGAATCCTAACAGCTGTAGCTCAGGCTACAGCTGAAGTTGGCACCACCCCATCAGACCTTCCTTTCTTCTATTGTTCCTCTGAGCAGCAGCTACACCCGTCCCTAACCCTCCCACCCCCTCAGCTGGCTGGTGCTGCAATCAGAGGAAAGTATCTAGTTAACTAAAATCACAGGATATGTTTCCTTCCCCTGTGGTTTGGTATTTTAAGAGGTGATTTGATAAGGAGCATGGTAGACACGAATGAATGAACGAATGAACCCAGCGGAATTCTATCCATTTTAGGGAGATAATTTGGTAATGAACACTTTGCTGGTAACTGCAGTCTTTGATGGTCCCTGTTCCTGACTCCTACAAACTTCCCGTTTCCTTTGTTTACTTAGGACCCTGCTTCACTGCCTGCTGTGAGAGAGGAAGCAGTTATGTAGAGAAGGGAAAATAGGGAAGTCCACAAAGGAAAGATAAAGTTGAAAATGGGATCAGGAAACCTGACAACACAGAGAGACGTCGAAGAGGGAGGAAGTAAGAGCACAGGCTGAAAAGGAACGAGAGAGACATGGAAGAAAACAAGATTTTTTTAGCAGTAGCAGAGCCCTTACCAGCTTCTCCTCCTGGGCTGGGGGGCTCCTCAGGAAGCAGCAGAGAGGGGCATAGGCGATGTTGACGACTCCGATGACGACCATGAGCCAGGGGAAGCCCACAGCGTGCACAATGGCGCCACCCGTAGATGGGCCTGTGAGGAAGAAGTCCAAGTCACCAGTGTTTACGAGGCTTGATCACACGGAAGGTACCACGTGAGGGTCATCAGCGGGTGACCCAGGGGATGTCCCAGGGTCCAGTAGCTCCAGATGCCTGAGAGAATCAGCCTCCCAGCTCCACTTCCAGCTTGTCACCGGCAGAAAAGGGAGACTGGGACACCAGGTCCTGGGTGCTCCTCTCTCCCTCTCCATAACCCCCAACATACCGATAGCAAAGCCCATGCAAAAAGCCACATCAGCGATGGCGTAGACATTCCCGTACACGGAGGTGTGGCGCAGGTCCACCAGGTACCCCATGATGGGCATCATAGAGGAGTCCACCATGCCTGTGGCCAGAGTGAATGGCACACCCTCTGTCAGCAACACCCCAGGCCCCTCCCTGCCAACGCACCCTCCCTCCCCATCCTCTTTAGTCCACTCCCTTAGCCTGTGGTCCCCCTACTCAACAGGAAACTCATTCCAAGTAGGAATATGAACTCATTTCTCCACACCCTTGCCGGCTGCCCTCCTGATCTGTTTGCCTTTCCACAGACCAACATCCAGGGTCTTTTCATTTCCTTGAAGGGCACTTCTTACCTATGGCAAAGCCAAGCCCTGCGTTGGGAGCAATGAGGCCAAAAATATCCCGAGCCAGAGGAACCTGCAGGAGGGAAGGAGGGAGAGTTCATCAGGAGCCCAGCTGGGTCATGCGGGGGCAGCTCAGCCACAAAGTGCATTTGCCTGGAATGCACTCCAAATGCTCTGAGCCCCATGCATTATCCGATTGGATTCTCACAACCCCTGATGAAGAACTCTTTACCCTCACTTTGAAGATATGAAAACTAGATTGGTGCTGTTTGGTCAAATGCCCTGCCCAAAGTTACAGAGCTAATAAGTGGCAAGGTCGAGTTTGAACCTCAGGTTTGACTGCGTTATATCATAACCATGGTCCTTCTCTGTTGCAGGGCCCTCCCTCCCTGTACTGAACCCCCACCCCAGACCCACACTCTGTCGTCCTTCTTCACTGAATGGAGTTCCTCTCATTTCTATCAGCAGCAGCATCCAAAGGTCTAGGCTAAGGCTTAGCTTGGAAGCCACTGGAGCAAAAAAGAGAGGAGATACCAACAACCAATTATCCATAAGCTAGAGGGCAGGTGGCCTGTGTGGTGCCACATCAGCACGCCTGTGATGCTCGTTCTCTCACCTTCCCTCCCTGGGCATCTGGTACCCAACCTGCTACCCCAGCACACTCACCCCTCAGAGGTTTAATGTATGATTTAGATTTTAGTGGCTGATAGTAATTTTTGGAAAGATTCCTTAAGGGGTATTTATATTTTATTGACAGTACAGGCTACGAGCCCCTGGGACACGCTATGTGCCAGACCCTGCCATGGTCTGTGGATGCCCCTGGCCACCCTGTGAGCGTGCTTCGAACCCCATTGCGGAGAGGAGAAAACGAAGGCTTAGAGAGCACGACAGGGGCTCTTGAAACTGGAGAAGCCCTTCTTTCTTTCTTCTTCTACATTATAGTCTGGTGCAGGGGGCTGAGGCACAGATGATGGTTCGCCCAGTGGCTTATGAGGTTCTGTCAGGATGGGGTGAACAAGTGAAGTCATGGAATGCACCATCCGGCTGGCCCCGAAACAGACACCCACGTGCATTGCTTTCTATGCCCATACACAGAGCTTCAGCCGGCCCCTGCCCTCCTACTGCCCTCCCTCTCCTCCCCCACCTCTCTCCAGCGGGACACCTGGTGGCAGCTCTCCGGCTGCTAAATTCCCACTGATGCAGAGACGGTCTCTCTGACAGTCCTCGCCAAGTCAACCCTCTGCTCATTTTGAAGGACAGTGATGTTTAAATGTCTGGGTCTTCCTCTCTTTTCTCAACTGGACCTTATTATACTTACACAAAGCAAGCTGGTACCTACTACCACCATGCCAATCAGGGAGCAAAGCCACCTGGGAAACAGAACTGTCATTACATGGTGCCAAGGGGAGAGATCCCTCCCACCCGCCACCCCTTCATCACCACACTGGCTGGTCCTACTGCCTCTAATTCCAGGGGCCCCGTGGGAGGTCGGAAGATGAACGCATCTCTACGTGACCAGGTGGCACCCCGGAGAGCCCCTCCCTGTCCTTTCCCTCCCCACCTCTCGCCTGGCTCCACGCCTCTTCCGCCAGCAGAAACAGTGGGGCCCGATGGGAACTGTTCTTCCTTCCCTTAGAGGGGGAGCCAGCTGAGTGAGAAGGACAGGCCCCTTGGGAGTAACCCTCAAACTTGATCCATGCTGTCTCCCCATTCAGACAACCTCTCCCCTATTCATATCTCATTTTCTCTTCAAGACCCATTAGAAACCACAGAAAAGTAATGCCAAACTTCTTTCCTTCTCTGGTTGCCTAGAGCAGTGTTTTTTCTTTTTAATCTTTATTTCTAAAGTCTTTATGCTGTGCTATGAAGATGACATCAGAGCTGCTGTCACTGTCGTGGAGGAACAGGACCCAGACTCACACCTCTCGGGGGCCCTGGGGCACCTCCCTGGTGCACAGTGGGCAGCCGCTGCCCCCAGCGCTGCTGCTTCTCAGGCCTGTTCTCTGGGGGGTTATTTGATCTCTTCCACAGGACAACAAGCACCTGGAAAGTGAAGGCTGTCCCTCAGGTATTCACTGCTGCTTCTACAGCAACGGGCGCAGGGCTGCGTGTCCTTTCTCCTTTTGGCCCTGGTCACCTGCTCGCCCCATTCTCCTGGGGGCAGTGTTTACGTGTGTACTTGTCCTAAACTTGCCACCTCAAAAAAGCTGCTCATCATCCCCGGCGCAGGGACAGCCTCAAAGGGCTGTCCTGTCTTACATTCCTCTTGCTCGTCCAGATCCCCAGTCTACGTACCGACCCATCTTGTTGGCTAACATGCCAAAGAGGTTGGTGCCGATGAGGTAGGACACGCTGGCAGGCAGGAAAGCCAGACCTGTAGAAAGACACAGGTCCGCACCTCAGGACACGCCCCGTTTGCTCTAAAACACCTCGATCCTACAAGACAGTGAAGTTAACCTCAAGGATCGCAAAGCAGTTTGCTTTGTGGGTTGGCGACCCCTGTGCAGACCCAGATGGACAACCGAGGACCCCACACAGCTGCGTTCCTCTGGAGCAGGGCCCTGTGTAGCTCCAGTACACGCGGTGTGCTCCAGGCTCCCGCTTGGACCTCCGGGTGAACAGCCCCTGTGAGCCATTCTCTCGGGTGAAGTACCCTCGGCCGTTGGTACAAGAACACGCACATCGGGGAAAGACATACACACTTCCTGGGAAGTGAGTTCCTGCCTGGCTGCCTCCCCGCCTTTCTATCGCTTAGGTCCTGACGTTGGTCGGTTAGGAAGCCTTTCTGAGCTCTGGTCTCTCATCTGGGAAAAACAAAGCTATTGTTACGTGACAACAGCTCACACTGAGGAGCACATCAGATGACGAATGTAAACGTTTGCAAACTGAAGCCCCGTCACACTGCGTCCAGCGGCAGTGGAGTCACGCACCCCGCAGCGGACTGCGCAGCCCACGGCTCTGGCTTCTCTCCGTGGCTGGGCCAACTGTTAGCTCTGTGACCTCGGGCAATTTATTTACTTCCTCTCAGTCTTAGGCTTCTGTTCATTCATTCAGTGCTTTTAATGAGCTTTGTCATATGCTAAGTATTCTCAGGGCTAGGGATAGAGTGATGAATCAGAGAGGAAATCCTAGTCTCCAGGAGCGAGACAGATAATAAGTAAGTACACAAATACATGAAAAAGATAATTTTGAAAAATGATAACTTTTGTGAAGAAAATGTAATGTGATGTCATGGCAGAATGACCAGAAATGGGGCTAACTTAGATTTGGTGGGTCAGGGAAGGCTTCTTTGAGAAGCTGACATTTAAGCTAAAGCTAGAATAACCAAAGGAGAGTTTTCAAGCAGGAAAACAAAACAAAACAAAACAAAAACAAGCACCACACCCACAAACACCACTTCATGCAAACACAGAAGAAACTGCTTAGTCCGTTCTAGGAACAGGAAGGAGGCCCAGACGGCCCAGGCGCCCTGTGCGAAGGGGAGAGCGACGGGAGGGGCGCGCCTGGAACCCGGAGCTTCCGTGACGCGGAATGGGAAGTGTTGGAGAGGAATGGCCTACTCTGACCGGCTTTCTGAGGTCCCGGGTTGTGGTTAGAAGGGTGGCTTCACAGGGCAAGAGTGGGAGCCAAAAGACCACCCGCAGAACCCAGGAGAGGCGGGATCACGCCTCAGCTTGGGAGTCGCCGTGGAGAGGAGGGAATCTCATGGCAGGTATTTTGCTGGCGGAGTCAGTGGAATTCCCGGTTGGACCGGCCACAGGCATAGCGGGGGTGGGGGAAAGAGAGAAATCAAGGAAGACCCCCAGGTTTTTGTCTTTATCAACCGGGTGGCTGGAGACCGGAGGTGAAGGAAGAGCGTGGAGGGCTCCTAAAAGGTTCCGAAGGCCTATCAGACGTCCTATCAGCGGGAAACGCCCGGCGGTCGGGTCGGGCGCTCGAGTCCGGAGTTCTGAAGCAAGGTCCCAACACAGATGCACACCTCCGACTAACTGGTGCGTGCATCGTCCTTACAGCCAGGGGAGGGGCTGGGCTGGGCTCACCTGCAAAAGATCAGGTGGAAAAGAGTAGAGACCCACGGTCTGCAGCTCTGAGGACCCCTACCTTTAGAAGTTAGCAGAGAGGGAGGATGTGGAAAGGCGGGAAAGGAGCAGCCAGTGGAGGGGAGAAGGGGGTGGAACCCAGGGGACAAGGAACCAAAAGGAGTTTGGCCTTGGAAAGGAGCTGAGGTGCGGCAGCGGCGAGGCGGAGGGGCTGGTGCGGCCCCGGGAGCAGCGCAGTGAGTGTGCTCCGCGACGGCGGCAAGTGAGCCTCCCTCTGGGTTCTCCCGTTTTCTCCGCACGGCCGGCCGAGCTGGAGGGGCGGGGCTGTGAAAGCGGTCTGGACGGAGAAGAGTAAAAGCCCTTTTGGAAAGTGGGATGGAGAACATAGCTACGGGACTTACAGAAAGATTGTTGGACAGCGTAAAAACCTACCTTAGTCAATTCTCATTAGAAGTAAAATTTAAAAGAAGATTACAGTGGAGCTGAGAAAAAGAACCTATTTTAGATCTGTGGCCCCAAAGCTAAGGCGAGACCAACAGCGCGGCCGTGAGATTTTCTGCAGTCCCGTCCCCTGCTCTTGTGAAGGTGGAGCAGAGCAACCAGACAGGCTGGGCCGGAGTCAAGGCTTCGCCAGGTGATGGCCCCAGGGAAAGAGTGGGCAAAGGAACACCAAAGCTTTCAAAGGAGTGACATTGATGGTGGACTTGGATCCATCTGGATGGAATCCAAGCTAAGACAGAAGTGGAGACACGAGCAGTGATGACAGCAGAACAAGAATTGAGGCCAATGGCCATCTTAAAGTTGTCAAAATTTGTTAAGGTGGGGGGATTTGAATGCCTGAGCATAATATATGTAAGGTGATAACTGGGCTGCTTGGAAGGCCAACTTTAGGTGGGATACCAGTAATAATGTTAAGGTCATCGTTCTGTAAAGTTTGCCTGGTGAAGGGGAGAGGAGGAAAGGGCCATTGCAGAAGAGCAGGTTAAGGAATAGGTCAAGAGGTTAGAGGGTAATCGACCTGGATATCGACGCCCCCCAAAACAGGGGCAGGAGTAGAGGCGGAAATGATCGACAGCTCTAATGATGGAGATGAGGTGACTAAGGGGTGGGTGCTACAATTTAACAACAAGATCTTCAAAGGAGTTGGGGTCTTTGAAGGAGAATGAAGAAGAAGTGACTCAGAAGCAGCAAAGGAGGAACATGGACGGCCCGCACGGGGGCTGCAGGAAACCATGTTCTCAGGGGACACTCAGGGGTCAGCACCAGGTGATGAAGGGCGCGTGCGGAGCCCAGGCCGAGGGCACTGGGACCTGGCCTGGACAGGAGGTGCCCTCAGGCCCAGCATTCGGAGGTGGTGGTGGAGTGGGTAATGGAAATTGGGTCAGAACAAGAAACCTCTACAGGATGGAGGTAATAACAATTCCTACAAAACAAGTGAGCTGTGGGGCTTAAATGACATCATGCAAAGCAACCACTTTGCATAGCTCCTGGCCCAGATTAAGTCCCCGCTGAGCGCTGGCCTTAATTAGTGTCATCTGGTGAGAAACACGGTCAGGACTTGGACCCAGGCCTCTCCGCTCCAACTCCAGGTGTTCCCGCCACCCACACCCCCGGCACGGCCACCAGATGGCTCTGGCGCAGGGGCTGCATGGCATCCCAGCGAGAGTTTCCATTGGCCTCACCAGCCTCTCTGCCTCTCTGTGCTGACAGGAAGCCGTGCTACCCGTAGTGACTATGTGGCGATTACAGTGAAGCCCAAAGTCAACACTTCCCTGGTTACCAGCTGATGGCTTGTTTGCTTTTAATATCTCTCCTGTGGGTGGAAGTGAAGTATACCTTAGTGGATTTGTCCAGTTGACCTGTGCGGCATGGCAATCTGTCTGAAACTGTGCCTATTTGTTTATGTTTAATTGCTTTTAAAACATGAGAAGTTTTAACTACCCAACTGTGTACCTGATTATCTGGAAAGAAGTTCCTCTGGGAAGCTACCTGCCACCTAAATGGTTGTCTCAATGTCATTTTAAAGGATGTGAAGCTTCTGAAGGAGATTTCCCCCATCACAGTAGCTGGTTCTCCCGGACCTGGGGAGAGCTTGCATTTCAGCAGCACATTGTGCAAAAGAGGGGCTCCAGCTGTGTGTCCACAGACACACGTATGTTGTTCCCAGCCCATCTTCAAGGGGTGGGGATGTCACTGGCTGTGACTGTCAAAGTGATGTAAACAAGAATGATTGCAAAACAGTAATGATTTTAATTTACTGAGTGTATGTCATGCATGGTGCTAATCCTTTTAGGATTCATATAACAATTTAGTCTGGAAAACAACTCTGAAAAACAGCTCGTTTTTACAAATGAAAAAAGTGGAGTTCACAAGAGGTTAGAAAACTTATCCAGGGTCACAGCCAGTAAGTGGCCACTGAGAGTCACACCCAGGTGGGCCTGTCTCTGGGCCTGAGCTCTGCCCACCCTCGGTGACTCGAGCAGTGGGCAAACAGGACCTTTGAGTGCTTGGTGACAGAAGACCACCCTTCTCAGAGGCCTCATCTCCTTTGTCCCTAAGTGCAGTGTTCTGCATTTAGGGCAATATGTTTCGAAGTGGGGCCACTGAGGCCATCTCAGCATCACCTGGAAGCTTGGAATGCAAACTTGTTTCACTGAAAGCCGGGTGGGGCCCTGATACCCGAGTTTTAACAACCTTTCCGGGCAATTTGATGCAGATAGCACTGCGGACCGGTGTAAAGGATGGAGGAAGACAGAGCCTCCTTGAGCTCTGATGTTCCTGCAAAGGGGACCGTGTGAAGTCACCCTGTGTGAGCTTCTTCAGGTGTCTCACCTGCCACTCTGCCTCTCCTAGCGAGAAGTTGCTGCCTAATGGAAACTACCGTGACGATTACAATGATGCCCAGTGTCAACAATTCCCTGGTTACCAGCTGACGGCTGGTTTGCTTTATATAGTCTCTCCTTTGGGTGAAGAAGGCTGGGGAAGGGCCGTCTTGAGCCATGGGTCCCACCTGCGTGGCCAGCACCTTGGGGCAGAGGATGCTGGCTGGCACCAAGCACTGACTAACTCGATTAGTTGTCATGGTCAGAGGCAGCTGCCGCCCAGAACAATTCAATTTGGGGCTGGGAGCCTTGCTTAGAACTGTCCCCTAAAAAATTAGATTTAGTGCTTTTATCGCATGCTGAGCCGCATCAGGTCCTTATCGGCTCCCACTCTGGCCCCATGAGCCTCTCCTCCCTGCAGTGAAGGAGCACTTTGCACATAGCCTTTTCTGTCCCTGTCCCCAGGTTTCCCAAAAAGGAGCAGAGGAGGCTGGAGGCCTCTTCCCTGGGCCCAGAGCTCCCCACTGGGATTCAGAGTCAAACGCCTCCCCTGGGTGAGGGCTGCAGAATGGCAGACTCCAGAAGCTCCTCTCTTAGAGGTGAAGAGATACCAAAAAACCTGAGATTTTACTGTCTATCTCAGATTACTTTGTATTCATACGTGGAATCTAATGGACTAACTGAACCAACAGGCAAAATAGAGGCAGACTCATAGACAGAGCAGGCTGACAGCTTGGGAAGTGGGAGTTGGGGTGGGTGGAGGGGTGGAGCGCAAAGGGAACAGAAGAGAAGGAACTCAGGGCACAGAGAACAGTGTGGTGATTGAGGGGAGGCTGCTGGGTGACTATGGGGGGATAAATGGTAATGGACAAACTACAATGAAAATAATGTAAAAAAAGTAACCCGGGGAAGGGGAGCTGAAGAGAGAAAATGTAGGCGGTGATGAAGGTGCATATTCATGTTCTATGGGGGCAAGGCTGCCAGTTATTCCTCAAATGACCTTTGAACCAGACAGGGTCTGGACGCCCGTCTGAGAGGTGGGCAAAGGGGGTGCTCGGCAAGTCCCTGTGATCTGCACAGCTGGCATAGCCGATCAACAGAAACGAGAACTTGCGTCCTCAGACTAGAAGCCGTTAATGATTCAGCCACACAGGCAGTTGCTGCTCTCCAGCCCTGTTAACAGCACCTCCCTTCCTTCTTGGGCTGCCTCTTGGAGGGACCACCCACCCAGTCAGGCTTGATTCACAGCTGCGAATGGGCAGTGATTCTATGAGGGGAGCACATTGTCCCTCTGGGCCCCTCTAGGCCCTCTAGACCTGGGCCTAGTAATGCTGCTGGATTACCTGAGAAAGGGCCCATGGCACACTCTTCTGCTCAAGCCTGAGCTGGGGATCAAGATCACTTACCCAGCTGCCACTCAGGGGAGCACATGGTCCGCATCATCCAGATGGGCAGTGTGGGCTCCAGCATGGCCACTCCCATGTTGGCAAAGCAGAGGGAGCCTGGGGGGACAGTCCCATGAACCACCATGGCTGCCCTGAAGCCCGGCCCCTCCCAGCCCATGGGGGGGTGTCCCAGCTTACCTGCAGCCACCAGGATATAAGGGTCTTTGAGGAGTGTAAGGAGCGGGGTCCCCTTGGCACTCTGAGGACATGGACAACAAAAACCTCCATCTGTATAGTATATAAATCTACCCTTTGCACAGAATCTGAGAATATGCAGACGTAGAGTCAGCACCGCCCCCACAGGGGTGGGCCTCGGTGCCCTCGCTGCCCCCAGCTTCTGACACCGACCACAAGCAGTGGGCTCCCAGGTTACCTCCACTTTGGTCTGACGTGGCTATGAATTCAAAGTAGTTAGAGCAAACTTCCCTGTACTTTTTGCATTTTTTATCTTTCTTTCTTCGTGGTTTGATATGAACTTCCCAGAGCCATCTTTGGCTTGGGGGCAGGCAAATACCAACTCCAACATTTAACTGTAAGGATGCTCTCGGGAGAGGCTGCCTGGAAGACCTCTAAGGCCTTCTCAGCACTGGGATGTTGTAACTACACATACTCAGGTCCCAAAGTCATTGTCTCCTTTGCATGGAAAACGATGTAACAGTTAACACAGGATAAAACAAGAATGAAGTGTTTCGCATACTCACAACCGTAAACCTACTTTTCCCCACCCTGCATGTTAAATATATATTAAACTCATGACTGTATATGTGTATATATAAACTTAGCACATGAGTGTGTGTGTGTGTGTGTGTATACATATACATACATAGCCATATATATGTAGTTATACACTGCTTCACAATGGGGATACACCTGAGAAATGTGCTTAGGCAATCTTGTCTTTGTGCGAACATCATAGCATGCACTTACACAAACCCTGATGTTTAGCCTGCTTACACTTAGGGTACATGGTGCAGCCTATTGGTCCTGGGCTGCAAGCATGTACAGCATGTTACTGTACAAACATCATGAAATTCAAGCACAAGGGAAAATTATGCAAATACGAGACACAGTAACTACAAGATGTATGATGCCACTGCTGGTGTCACACAGCAAACTGCCTTACAACAAACTTTTTTTTCATAAGTAGAAAGAGTACATTCTAAAATAACAATAAGCCCTGGCTGGTGTGGCTCAGTGGATTGAGCACCGGCCTGTGAACCAAAGGGTCGCCGGTTCTGTTCCCAGTCAGGGCACATGCCTGGGTTGCAAGCCAGGTCCCCAGTATAGGGCACTCCAGAGGCAATGCACACATTGCTGTTTCTCCCCCTTTCTTCCTCCCTTCCTTTCCCTTCTCTAAAAGTAAATAAATAAAATCTAAAAAAATAATGATAAAAAGTACAGAAACCAGTAACATAGTTGTTTATTATCACAATTGTATGTGTTATACTTTTATACAACGGCAGCCCAGTGGGTTTGTTTACACCACGGACAGGAGTGACACATGGCACCATGACTGGCTACGATGTCAGAACAGCCACAACGTTACTAGGAGGTAGGAAGTGTTTTAGCTCTACTATAATCTTATGGGCCCACCATTGTGTATGCAGTCTGTTGTTGACCAAACATTGTCACGTGGTGCATGACTGTATGTGCTTGTGTGTGTGCATCACCTAAGGTTTCTCTGAGGCTTCGTAGGCCTTTCCTCCCCCTTTGCGCAACGTCCAGCCAGACTCCCACACCGTCCCCTGCACCGTCCCCCGCGCCACCCTAACTGTGACTCTGTCTGGGAATCCCAGTTCAGTTCTCACGTCCCCGGACTCCATCCCCTTCACCTTCCTTCTTAGGTTTGGCAGGGGTGATCTAGGGACACCTGGGTCAGTGCCCTTAGCCATGTATCCCCTGGAACTAGAGCTTGGCATGTACTCACCTCAGGAGAGAATTTGGAGGGCTGTAAAATACAAAGCTGGAGTGCTAAGGAAGAAAGAGGGAGAGAGACGGTGCAGTTTATCCACTGAGTGCCGGAGGCTCCAATAACTGCCACCTTGCTGTCACCGAGCCACACACAGATCTAGCTCCCTGAGTTCCTTCCTTCCTAACTAGGACGGGGCAGTCCTCAATCCACTCAAACATGTCAGGACCAACACCACAGCATAATACATCCCCAACCTGGCCTGGGCTGTCACCTGCCTGGTGGCCTCATATGGTGATTTACCTCCATCTAGTAGTGCCAGGAAGGCCAGGATGAGGAAGGGTGCAGACTTCCCGACAAACTCGTACATCACACTTCCAAAGGGAGCTCCCACTGGAAAGGCAAAGCAAATACAGATCCCAGAGGTGAGGGCCAGGGCCCAGGCAGCGTGGCGTGGCCACGTGGACCCCGTGGTGTTCACTGAAGGCCCAGGGGCTGAGCTCCACATGAGGTTCTGGGGATTCAGAGCTGAAGAAGACCTGGCTCCAAGGTCTTTGTGTGCTAGTGGAGGAAACGACTGTGGCAGGTGGGGGGCACATAATTAGAGCATGGTAACAGGTGAAATTCAACAGTAAAGGTTCCACCTACAAAGGGCTGCTTAAGCACAGTGGAATGAGCTCAGGAGGCCACAGGGCTTTGTCAGGTGGACAATACTGGTGGGGAAGAACCATGTGCAAAGAACACAGATGTGTCAGAAAAGAGTGTGGTTGGAGAAGCAATAGAAAAGTCAGTTCTCCTAGAATACATGCATTTGGGAGGGAAGTAGAGGTGGGGAAGGTCAAGGCCACATAGTTAAGGGCCCCTAGATCCAGATACAGCATCTACTCGGCCTTGCAGGCTAGGGAGGAACACCAGTGCTTTTTTGGCTGGGAAGAAGTCCCAGCAGCTCTGGGTGCAGGGAGCTTCCTCAGGAGCAGCTTGGAGGAAGGACAGACTGTGCGAGAGGGCAGGCAGAGGCTGGTGCCACATTCCATCTGAGATGGGCTGAGGAGCTGGCCTTGAGGGAGTGGCTGTAGAGGACACAGTGGATGTGTTTGTTAGGGAGGGAGAGGAGAGAGAGTATACAGGGGTCCACCAGTCTCAGCTTGGGCGTCTGGGTAAGTGGGTGCTAACAAAGAGCAGGGGTTTTGTTCCATCTTTTCCCTGTGGTTGTAGAGGGTGGGGTGTGGGCCAGGCAAGGGACCTCTGGTGTTTTCTCCCTAATTAGCTTGCAAGCTTCTGTGGGGCAGGAACCACATCTGGGCTTCTTACCTGAATCTCCTCTGCACTAGCATCGTGCGTGGCATGCAATAAGTGCTCCATAACAGTATGTGGCCTGTTGCATACTAAGTCAATTAAATCATATGAAGGATGAACCTCAAAGAAGGGACAGCTTTATAATTTGAAGCTTGAGATTCAAGCCCAGAACACCTGTGTCTGTATCCTGGCTCTGGCATTTCCTGTCTGTGTGACCTTGGATGGCTATTAACCTTTTCTATTCTCATCTCTGTGTTGCGGGCAAGCACTCCTCCTTCACAGCACCGTGCCGAGGGTTGAAGGAGATTGTATCTGTAATGCATGCAGCACAAAATCTGACAAAGAGCATGTTCTCATGTTGAAAGCCGACCACGTGGTGAAGCAAAGGTGAGGCAGTGGCTGCTAACAGAGATCCACCCCTTGACTAGACTAGGTTTCTGGACTGTTCCTTAAGGGCTATTCAGCTTTGAAAGGGGAAAGTGATTTCATCTTTCCTGGACAAAATTTCAGAAGGGCCTAAAACATGATTGGACAGAGAAAGAAGGAAAACAGTGTCTTCCATGACCTTAGAAACACCTGCCTCCTGGAGCCGTCGGCAGAGAGTCTGCAGTACCCCACCCCCGAGATCCTGGGTCTGGGGCCAGGAGCCACGTACCCAGCAGTCCCAGCGCCAGGCCCCCCAGGGCTATTCCCATGGCACGGCCTCTCTCGGAGTCATTTGTGTAGACACTGGCTAGCATCCCGAGACCTGAAGGAGAGAGACAGATGGAGTTAGCATCTCTGCTGGAGTTTCAGCTTGAGGGTTTTTGCAAAGCTTAACCCACAGTATTTTACAAATCCTTCCCCACTGGTGCCCCCAAACTCCCACACTGCTCACCCCTTCTGTTCAGAATATTGTCGGGAGTGTAAGTCTCTGGGAAGTGTAACGCAGAACACCATTGGGTTTCACATCACGTTATCATTTCCTAGCACCTTCCCTGATGGACAGATCTGGACTAGGTCAAGGAAGGGAAACCTATGACCCCAGAGCACTGCTCTACTCAACAGGGGAACCCAAGGGTGAGGGCGAAAGCCCTGTGTGTCCAGCGAGGGCGTGGGCTGAGCGTTCCTGTCCCCAGAGCATGTGCTTCATGGCGCAGGGTTACATTCAACACCATGTTTGAAAGCACCGTGCAAACCGATGCTGTCACCAGCACTGCTAACATCACTGTTCCTGTAAAGTGGTGAGAGGGGACAGAGAAAAGAGGGCAGAGTGGCATCAGTGAAAGCCGGGCCCACTTCACGGTTTTGCCTCGGGCTTGCTCTGAGCTGAGCTGGCTGCCTCTCAGCACTATCAGAGGAAGTGATGTCAGGCTGAGGGATTTACAGGCAGTGCCGGCAACTCTATAATTGTCTTGCTTTTGAATCACAATTTCTGCCTTCTAGGGTATTTTCTTTAATTTTTTTATATAAATCTTAAAGAGATAGTGTGTGTATACGGGTGAGCGTGCATGCGTGTGTAAGATGTCAGTGTTACCTGCAACAGATGAAAATGAAGACCCGATGCCTTGAAGGGTTCGAGCCACAAAGAGCAGGGCATAGGTACCAGAAAAGGCGAACACTGGGCAAAGAGAACGGTGAGAACGCTCCAGTTAGCACGCTGCCTGGGTTCCCCACCCGCGATGTCACATATGTGAGCCATTATGCCTGTGTTTCAGTAAAGCCTGCTCGCTGCTCCTCATTTCTGCAGCCCTCTTTCTAGTCTCCCACCCCTGAATCAGGACTGTGTTTTAACTGGTATGAAGACTGAGAAACCGCAGAAGCACAAATGGATCCACTGTGCCGTAGACAGAAGGCTGGATTTCTATTTTTCATGCCCAAAGCCAATGTCCAACATCTGTCCACTGAAATCAGGGCTGTCTAAGAAGTTCAAGGCCCCAGGCTGGGATCTTGTCCTTAGACCCTACTTCTGGATCCTTCATACGCAACACCCAGACTTGACCTTTGCCACTGTTGGGCCTCAGTGGGTCACCCAAAAGTGGGGGTAAAAAGCTATGTGTACTTGAAGGACCATAGGCATTGGGTAGACAGTAAAGTCATATCTTGCTATCCAATCAGATCTTTCCCTTTATCTTATACTGAAAGATCTTTTAGCCAAACCGAACCAGTGGTACTTACTAAACAATACTGAACATACAGCTGTGCTAGACTCTTAGCAGATGTGAAGTAAAGAGACGTCCAGTTCATGCCCCCGAAGAGGTTCAGTCTGCTAGAGACTGACATAGACAAAGCAGAACCAAACAAATGTTACCAAACACTAAATTACAGGGTGTTGATGCTGCGGTTGGTAAGTGAGTGCAGACATGTCTCACCTCCAGTTCAAAGGCAATGCCCACAAAAGACAGAAGACTCCCTCCCAAAGTGTCTGCATCAGCGGAACTGAAATCCTTTTGCCCGCTCATTACAGATGTCCTCGCTCATCTGATGCCTGATAATCTCTCCTTCCCGACGTGATCACACCGTCTCCCAGACACACACACACTTGGTCTCTCCTCGCCTGGCCTCCAGTGCCCACTCCCAGGCCTTCAGATTTCTAGTCTGCTCAAGGTCAGCTCTTCCTATATTGTTTACTAACTCATCTCGGTTTGCCCCATTGGCCTGGGGTTTTCTTGGCTTTAAAACCAAAAGTTTCATATCTTGGAAGGCACCTCAATCTCATGGGAAGTGGGATGGTTGGTCATCCTACTTAGAAAGACCAAAGCAATTTCTTTTTTACTTTGCATCCCTAACACAGGCCACTATTTAGCTCCTAATTACACTGAGTCTGGTTCCCAGCTGGGGGCCCTTAGGGGTGGCAATGGGCAGCAGCAACCTCTTTTTTACTGGTTCAAAAGCCCTAACAGATGCTACATAGGAGGCACTGAACACCAAACGTTCGCTAGGATCAGGCCAACTCAAGTACAGTAACACTGGTCATGCCATGGAAACAATGTCAGTGTGTAATATAGTACATACAATGTGGTGGATAAGAAAAGCTTTCAGGCCTTTATACTAAAGACTATGGGGTCCTGGTGGGGAGGGGAGTGGGTGGAGGTGGAAGAGGGTATGGGGGGGTGGATAAATGGTAATGGAAAAAATATAATAAAGATAATGTAAAAAGTTAAAAATATAAAGACTATGGGATCCTCTAGTCCTAACTTATTCTGAGGGCTGTTTGTCAGGCCTCCCAGGCACTGAAATAGCAGGTCCTTATGACTTTGATTAAATTTACCTTTAAATCCTAGCTCTGGAAATAATCTCTCTCCCCCCACCCCCACCTCTCATATATGATATATATATATATATATCCAGCAGAAGAGAAGTAATGCCTGCTTGAGTGTGGTTGGTAGGGTAATAATATGGGTATAATAATTTATATTTTTATTTTGAACATTTCACCTAAAACGTCATGTGGTATGCTTGAGTGTGATATTGTTATGTTACAGAATGACATGCTTATGATTTTGTAGTAAAAGAGGGGTATTATCTGTGCCGGATCCTGTATATATATCCCTCAGAGACCCAGCCTTTCCCCTGGATGGTCAGCAAGCCCCGAGGTAGCTGGAGACAGCAGCGGGGACCTGACTGCTGATCATGGGGTCTGGACCTCTGCAGGCTAAAGATAATGTGTTGACCTAAGTCACACTTCAGCTTCTGAGATCGAGCTGGGATGATCCCCTGGCTACTTCCCCATGAGGCCAGACAGCGGGATGCTGGAACAGACCTCAGAGCTGTCCTGGAGACCTGAAGAAATGTTTCAGTGTCCTTACTCACCTCTGACCAATCAGCTCCCAGCCGGCCCTGAGCCCCCTAACCCACAGTGTCTTGTGATTTTGCCCTCTATAATCTGTACTCTACGTGCCATCAGAGAGTGTGGGCTTTTGTGCATGAGCATCCCGTTCTCCTTGGTTACGGCATTCATAATAAAATAGCCAATCTTTTCCCCCCACAGTCCTTGGAGTTTAAGGTTTGGCTCTGCTTGTGCAGGTGGACAAACGCTTTTTGCTTTGGAAGAGCATTGTAAAGTCACGGGGAACTGGAAATATGTCTTTTTTTTAAGATTTAAAAATATTTATTTATTTATTTATTTTATAGAGAGAGGGGAAGGGAGGGAGAAAGAGAGGGAGAGAAACATTAATGTGTGGTTGCCTTTAGCATGTCCCCAACTGGGGACCTGGCCTGCACCCAGGCATGTGCCCTGACTGGGAATTGAACCAGCGACCCTTTGGTTCGCAGGCCAACACTCAATCCACTGAGCCACACTAGACAGGGCTGGAAATGTGTCTTTATACTTCACATTCCTTCAGTGACTTTTGCCATCAAAGCATAATATGTATGCTCCATAAAGTTTTGTGGAATGAATTATGTATGTCTCATTTGATGAAACAGCAAATTATTTGTTTTTAATGTACCGTGGAGCATAGACTAAACTTCTAGTAGTTCAGTAAACACCTCTAACTTGAATTTCCTCTGCTTTGCTTCAGCTAGGATTGCCTCAGGTAAGCTGCAGTCTGGAGTCAGAACTTAACCCGGTTCCTGCACTTTGTGGCCTTCTAGCCCTGAGTGAGACAAACTCCCGTTCTGCACTGGTTGATAAGAGTCAAGCCCTGTGCTGGAAGGAGAAGCAATAAAAAAAAGCAGAATTGTACAGAAAGGTGATAAGAAAAACCAGAGGGCTACGGAGGCCTGCCGTTAGGGTCAGAGTGTCAGCGGGGGCACCAGGGGCCACCAGTGGGCCCATAGGCTGCCTCCCGGCAGTAACCCCCTCCCCATTCATTCCTTCCTCTTGTAATTCTCAGGGTCAATTTCTGGCCTTTTTTCCCCCACTTACTGTTCTCATTCCACTGCCATTTTATTAGGAACATCTATTGGAAAGTGGATGGACTATTTGTCTTTCCCTCTCTTGTTTCTTTAGCAAATTTATTTTCCTAAGCTAGAACATTTCCAAACCTTTAATGTTCTTACGTGAAGGCAGTAGACTCTGGGGTATTTCCCAATTGCTCTTGTCCAATTTAGATTCTTTGTTTGCTGCCCTTTACCTTTGCAAATAAAAGATAATACGACATCTTTCCAAAGAATGTGGAGGTTTGTCCTGAACTCACTCAGGGGATTACTGATACATGCACACACAATGGCACACACAGTAAAGCAGCCTTCACAGCTCTCCTCAGCTGACAGAAGTGAAGTATCTGTTCTTTTATAGCAGAATATTCAGATTCTGACTAGACTGAGTTACCATTATTGTTCTAGTGCCCATACCAGACACTGCAAAGCATTTAAACCAGTACCACGGGCCACTTAGCTAGCGTGATGCTGCTCTCTCCACTGCAGTGTATGTGATAAAATCAGAGGTAATCAGTGATGGGAAGAAAGGAGGAAGCAAATTACTTACTCACTGTGGAGAGAAACATGATAACAAAGCCAGCAAACATGGGAATGTGATATCCAATCCTAAAAGGGAATTTAAAAAAGATACAGTTCCAATGGGCATCCATATTCTGGGACTACACAGTTTCATGTAATTGAGAAGGGAAATTCACTTATTTGAGTACATGGTAAAACATATCCCTGAATGCAGGTGCAGAGAATGGATATGACATGTAAATGTATATAAGCAAACAAACAAACATGCACTATTACCCACAGACCAGGGCCTGAGTCTTCTTTTCCAGAAAGGACAGCCTAGTCAGAGCGTATACCCTTCTGAGAAATCAGGATAATCCCAAACACCCCTGCTAAGAAGCCAGTGCTCTGGTTTACGACAGGCCTGCTCCCTCCCCTTCCTGTCTGGCTGGGCCAGGGCTCTGGGACACTAAAATCACCTCAGTGGCGTGCTCCCTTCACCGTTCTCTTCTTAGTACCCTACAGTCGTTAGGTCACTAAGAAAATCTGGAGCCCGTGGCATTTCATCAACATCAGGCTATCCTTTGGGGCAACCAGCTTTTCTAACAGTGCACCATCCTGGGGTGCAGACAGGAGAGCTTCTCTTTTTTCCCTTCTAACCCCCTTTGGGACACCGCAGCCCACTCTCTCGCTCTGCAGCCACCGAGCGCCCACGGAGGTACCTGTTGGTGAGAGGCCCCACGAACGGGTTGACCAGAAGCTGCATCAGAGCCTTTGAAGCAAACAGAACCCCGACTCGTATGTTCTCTTTCTCCAACAACTCTGTGTCTTGCAGGCAGTCGTTTTTATGGGTTGAGGTGCCTCCAGTGACTGGAGGCGGAGTGGTGCCAGAAGTGCCATTTGTCCATGCCGTGCCCCTGGGAGCATTTTGTTCAACAGCCACAGTGTTGTTATCAAAGAAGGAGAAGATCTGGGAAAAGGCGGGGGAAGTTGCAGCAGGGGTGGGCTGCAGAGAAGGGTTGACTTCTTTGTATTCTGTGGCATATAGGAAGGTGGGCACAATGGGCACTGAAAGTCAAGAAAGACAAGGGGTCAGGGCTAAGGGCACATTGTCTTCTTAACACTAGATGGTTCAAGGTCGTTGCTATGAAGTTCAGTTTCATGCTCAAGGCAGATGTCTACAAGATGTGATTTAAAACCCACTATAAGACTGGGCCCACCCACATTATACCATTAGATAAAGTACCTAAATTCCAACTATCACATAATTGGTCCTCATTATTCATAGGTTCCACATTGGCTAATTTGCTTACTGGCTAAAGTGTATCTGTAATCACAAAGCCAACACCTGTGGAGTTGTCATGAGTTTTCTTGGACATACGTGTAGAGGGCAGGGAAAATTTGGAGTCACCAGTTGCTCACTTTTCCAGCTGAGGCTGAACAAGGTAGGCTCTGCCTTTTTATTGCGGCCGATGCAGAGCGGGCAGAGCATGGAGACAGGAGAGCAGCTGGTGCGGGGCAGGAAGCTGCAGCTCTGGGGCTGCTTGGACAGAGCTCGAATCCCAACTCTGGCGCCTGTCAGTGAGGTTGCCTCGGACAAGGCACCTAACTAAGCATTGTCTGAGACAAGGCTCTGAACCTTGTTTTCTCTTTTGTAAAGAAAATAGAAAAGACTCACAGATACAGAAAGCAAACAGATGGTTGCCAGATGGGAGCGGGTTGGTGGGCGGGTGAAACAAGTGAGGGGATTAAGAAGAACACGTTGGTTGTTACGGAACAGCCCTGGGGATGTAAAGTCCGGCGTAGGGAATATAGTGGGTAATACTGTAATAACTATGTGTGGTGCCAGGTGCCTGGACTTATTGGGTGATCACTTCCTAAGTTATAGAAATGTGTAATAACTACACTGTACACTTGAAGCTAATATAATACTGAAGGTCAACTGCAATTGAAAAATTTAAAAAGATAAGAAAATAGAATCTGCCAGGATGCGCTGTTTCCAGCATTAAGAGTGCAGTCTACTTGGGATGTGAGTGTATGTATCTCTCCCAGGAGCAGTGAGTCAGCGCTGGCTAAATGCAGGGTCTGCAGCAACTTTAGAGAGTGTAACTACCACGAGTAACGAGAATTGAACATATTGGGTTAACAGTTTGTCTCAGAAAGCTTCATGTTTGAAAGCATATGTTTTACCCAAGGGAGGGGGGCAACATGTTAGCACCCATTTGGATACTAGCATAACTGAATGCAAAGATGGATAGACTACCAACCAAAAAAAGGACTGAGGGAATGAACCACTGCAAAGGTAGGTTTTGGTAAAAAGCTGGATATCCATAAAGCATGTTATTTCCACAGAGCAGAAGCTGGGGTGGCAACACAGCAAGAAGAAGCTCACTGTTCCAGCAGCCACAGGAGCTGCTGGTGCCTTGGGAAGACAGTGGGGGGTGTGGTGGGGTGGGTATAATGCTGGTGGTGGGGTGGGTATAATGCTGGTTCTGGCTCCACTCGGCCTCTTTTTGGATCAGATACTCTGCATCTCCTTCTCTTTGAACCTCTGGAGCTTCCAGCAATGGTTGGCAGCCTTCAGACCCTGTTTCCTGCCATTCCCAGCAGCCTCTGTGCGCTTTCGAGCATGAAAGGAAACACTCTCAAGTGCATTCACTGCTGAAAGCTCGAGGGGGCTGTGCTGTGGAGCCCAGAGCCCATGACCCCCGGCACAAAGGCCCGGACCTACCCACCACGGTGAGCAGCATGTTGTCCAGGAGCAGAGCCACAAACACCACCACCAGTACCAGCTTCCGGGACTCTCTGCCCTCCCGTAGCAAGCGCCCTGGGGCATCCCAAATGGCCCTGAGCATGACCACGGTGCTGGGGGTCTTGTCCTCCGGGTGCTGGGTGGAGGTCCTGTTACACCTGCAGGTCTTCTGCTGCCTTTACAGAGGAGGCGAGAAAGTTTGGCCAGAGCAGTGAAACTCACTATTAAAATAAAAAGTACAGAGTTGCAGGTGGTAGGGCGGTATGTGAAACTGTTGCATGCCCGTGTCTCTGCTGGCCTCTCACTCAGCTTACTAACTCACTCACCGGGTTCCCAGAGGGCCTGCCCAGGAAGCAGCGCGGGGCAATTTCTCACACTGGAACTCTGCCTTGCAGGCGTGTGGATTCTGGAGCCCACCAAGCTCCGTGTCTACAATGTCAGACACTGTCTGTCACCTCGATGGTTACATCCCATCTGAGGACTATTTACACTATTATTTGCTCAAATTTCCCCTCTAAATCCACTTAAAAAAACTGAAATACTTGTTTTAAAAAAGAATTTCGTGTGCCAGGCCAAAAACAAGTTATGGTCTATGCCTATGTGTCACACAAACTATTTCAGGTGCCTTGAGGGTGACGTGTGCTGCCCACAGAGAAGCCCGGCGTAGACCAGCCCTTTCGTCTCCGATGGGCAATCTGAGCCCCTGGCTGGGAGGGCTGCCTCAGGTCAGACAATCTGCATCCACCTGGATGCAATCCCAAACTTTTTAACTTGCAGGATTGTACAATGCAGGGAGGTACATTATTTACATAAGTGAAACACTTTAATGGTGGAACCTAAGCAGCTCTTACAATCATGTTTTCAGACAATTTCAATGACTTAGAAAATACTTTTAATGTGATGTTAAGTTTAAAAAAGGACATTAAACTGTATTTATAGCTTGACCTCAATGACATAAAAATTTATTTGCACCCTTTTAAAAGACTGGAAAGATGCATACCCAAATGTCAGCTATTATGATCAATACTTAAATTATTTTCTTTTTCCTTTTCTGTAATTTCTAAATGTTTTATTGTTAACAGTTTTCATAATACAAGAAGTAAATAATGCTCAGTGTGTGTCACTGGGGTTCAGTAGTCAGCCTCAAGGACCGGGCCCCTATGTCCTGTTCTAAGACGGGCTGCGAGGAGAGCCTCACCGACACAGCGGTTCTGAGTAGCTGAGAGGTCCCCTCCGAGCCAATCCCCAGGTAAGTTTCAGCCAGAAAGTGCATGCGATCATGTAATATCCCGTATAAATAATGAATTTCTAAATACAAATTTAGTTAGAATACACAGAGAAGGGAATAAAGAGACTAAAAGGAAAGCAAAAGAAAACTAAAAGACGTAAAATGGCTTAAAGTAGGCACTCTAAGGCTAGACCAAAAATACAAACCAACAAACCCAACAATCCAGACCAAACCAAACCAAACCAAACCCAACCCAACCAGGAGTTTGCTAACTAGTCAGTGGTGAACTTTACTTTAGCATCAATATTTTCTGCTGAGAGACACAAATCACAAGGAAAGATGGGATTTGTCCAGAGAGAGGAACTTCTCACCTGGGAATCTATCTCGTGTGGGCTACTCCGGGAGACGAGGCAGCTGCCAGCAGTTCAGCAGGGACTCTGTTCTCTGAGGGCAGACGTGCTGGCGGATTTATTGCTGCCTGTTATTTGAGGAGGCCGTATGTTCCCTTTGTCCACAAAAATTTAATTGGAACCTCTAACAGGTTCCATTCAGACCCTTCGCTCGCTGCGTCAGAGGCAGGAAAGCAGGACAGGAGAGAATAAAGGGAGGGGAAATTTTCCTAAGCAAAGAAGCACTGGGCTGCTCTGCTTTTCATCTGCGCTTATCTCCCATCAAACTCTTTAACTCCTGCCTGGAGCCGAGTACGAGCTGGAGAACAAAATGGAGCCAGACTTCAGTTTCTGTCCATCGCTGCAATACTTAGTCCAAGAGACTCCACACAGCCTGATTGCTTTTTGGAAAGAAACAAATATTACAACACCCACAGGACCAAATGTGCATGCAGGTGTGTATGTGTGTGTATGTGTGTAAAATCTATATATGTTGTTCTCAAGCCATAGAAATCCAACATCTATGGCCTCTGTAAAGTCACAGATTGTGCATTCGCTTCCCAATGCTAGCCCAGTGCCTGGCCCACAGTAGCATTTCTTGGAAGGATGACTAGATGGATGGCTACACAAGAGAGAATGATTCGCTGTGGATCTCAAAAATGCATTATAGGTCTATATTTTTCTGATATTATGAGTCATTGGGGCAGCCCTGGGTTGTGGGTTCGGTCCCTGATGGAAGTGCATATGGGAGGCAACTGGTAAATGTTTCTCTCTCATATCAATGTTTCCTGCCCTCTCTTTGTCCCTCCCTTTCTTCTCCTCTCTCAAAAAAAACAAAGTCAGTGGGGTAAAGACCACAGACAATTTGCCAAAGAGCAAATACAATTAAAGAGCAAGAGTAGCAGCAGAGGTTTCCTGCTGTGGAACTGGTGGGACCCTCCTAATTGTATGAATTAACTTGGAAACTTTCATTTCAGGGCTAGCAAAGAAAGAAAGTACCAAAGGAAGCCTGGGGAGAAAAGTATGGGGAGGAGGCAAGGACATTAGGGGAGTGCATGAGTTTCTTACGGCTGTTATAACAACTACCACAAACTTAATGGGTTAAAAAAAACACAGGCTTATTATCTTAGAGTTCTGCAGGTCAGAGGTCCAAAACAGGTCTCAGTGGGCTAAACATCAAGGTGTCGGCAGAGCTGCAACCCCTCTGGAGACTCTAGGACAGACTCAGTTTCCTTGCCTTTTCCAGCTGCTGGAGTGCCTGCATTTCTTGGCTGGCAGCTCCTTTCCACCTTCAAAGTCATCAGTGTTGCATTAACTCTTTCTCTCCCATTTAACGCTTTCTCTCTCTAACCTGTTGTCTCCCTCCTCACTGATGTAATTACACTGGGCCCATTCAGATATTACAAGATAATATCCCCATCTCAAGATCCTGAACTCAATCAGATCTGCAAGTATTTGGCTCCAAGATTAGAATGTGAACATCTCTGGCAGGGGTGGGTGGGGTGGGTGGGTGTTCTTCTGTCTACTGTAGGGGGCACAGAATACCAGCCCTTTTACATACCTTGTGGCCTGAGTCCCTAAATGGGGGGGATTAGGGCCAAAAGATGGAGGAGCTGTATTAAAAAAGTAACAGGACTCTGGGCATAAGGCAGTGGCCTGTTTGGAGACTAGGTGACACTTCTGCCATCATGCATTCTGTCCTAAGTACAGCTTTGTTACTCTGAGGGCTTAGGGCAGCCACCAGCAAAGCAAAACTATGTCTAGTAGAGAACACCAACAGCTGAGGGGCTGGGTAGAGCACCTCCACAGGGAAGAAAAAGCCCTCTGAGATATTTCCAAACTGGGGATGCACCAAATGATTGGGGAACCATGGTTTCAGGGAGTTGAGCATCTGAGAGCAGGCACTGGCTGAGAACCATCAGACTTTGGGCATTAATAGAAACAATAGCAACAATAATACTGGCCATCATTTATTGAGCACCTACTACATGTCAGACATATTTCTAATATATGAGGTCTGTCCAGAAAGTATCCATCCATGTACTATGAAAAACAGCGACATTTATTGAAGAAGCTACAAGATATAAGAAACACTGTACATAGGACAATGACACTTCAGTCCTTTTTAAGGAGGCACCTTGAGACCTCACACAGTTATGCCAATGCCATAAGCTGTCCCATCATATTTTCCTGAATCTCATCGATGGTCTGAAATCTCTTCCTTTTCAGAGGTGATTTTAATTTTGAGAAAAGTCAGAAGTTGCAGGGCACCAAATCTGGGCTGTAGGGGGGCTGAGTCACCTGATGATTTGACTTTTTGTGAAAAAACTCTCCATGAGACATGATGCATGAGCAGGCATGTTGTCATGGTGAAGCTGCCAATCACCAGTTGCCCACAGCTGTGGGCTTCTGAATTATCTGAATAGTTTCCATGGAGGACTGTTCAAGCTTAATGCAAAATTTGATACAGATTCATTCTTCTACTTGCTCAGTCATTATGAATGCGATGGCCACACAGTACACATGCTCACTCAATGGCATCTACCACCTCTGCTGACTAGGACAATGAAGTTGTCATTGTTCACACATGCACATTCCAATTTACTCTCCTTGGCTGCCAGGTTACATCGATGTTGTGCAAACTGTTCTCATTATATTAACAATGGCTGGACTTTTCCCAGACAGACCTTTGTATTCATATACTACATATAATAAACATACATTGTATCTATATTTCAGTCAACTGTAACCACGCTAGTAATCACAGGTTAGCCAAGCCTGGGTTGGTCTCGTAAATGCCTATTACTATAATAGTCAGAGTTTTGTCTGGTAAACAGAAATGAGCTTGTATCTTCTTGTTTAATTTTTTAATGTAAAAAAACCCTGTAAAGTTTGTGTGAGTATGGTAAAATGGAAGTTTGTATACACTCTGAGTAGCTATGCAAGTAGATACACTTTTAGAAAGCATTTTGGCTTTCTATCTTTTGACTTTTAAGTCATAAAACATTTATACTTTTTTACTCAGTAATTTCATTTCTTAGGAATCTATTTTTTTAAAAAAGCTAAAATATGGGAGGAATATCAGAGGCACAAAATTATCATCATAGCAGTTAGGAAAAATTGGAAACAACTTAAATAGCCAATTGTAGAAAAATATTTAATATATGGGCTTGAAGAACTGTCGTGTTACTATTGAAACAGAGAAAGAAGGATTATAATGAAGACTATACATCAACCTGGAAAAATTGTGTGTGTATATATATTATATATATATACACATACATAGATATTATAACAGCTAGTGAGAAGGTAGGATATAAAACTTTACATACATTCATAGCAGCATTATGCACAATAGTCAAAGGCAGAAGCAGCTTCATCAATATGTTCATCATATAGATGGATGGGTAAACAAAATGTGGCATAAGCAAATAGAATTTACTCAGCTTTAACAAGGAAGGAAATTCTGCCACATGCTGCCACATGGACATGGACAGTCTTGAGGACATGATGCTAAGTGAAATAAGCCAGCAATAAAAAGACAAATACTGCATGCTTTCACTTATATGAGGCATCTAGAGTAATCAAATTCACAGAAACAGAAAGTAGAATGGCAGTTTCTGGGGTCCAGGGAGAGGAGGAAATGAGGAGCTGTTGTTTCATGGGTTTGGAGGTCGGTCACACAAGCTGAAAAACTTCTGGATATTGGCTGATTGCACAACAATGTGAATATACTTAGTGCTGCTGAAACTTACACTTAAAGTGGTTACGATGATGGATTTCATGTTACATACATTTTACCACAATTAAAAATGTTTTAAAAACTTTATGTACGTTATAATTATATACTCATAAAAACTCCATGTACATTGAACAAATATACCTAAATTATGTTAGTGGTTATGGTAAATGGCACCATTATGGGAGATTTTAAAATTTATTATCTAAATTACAGTGGAAATTTTTTAAAAATTTATTTATTTATTTATTTATTTATTTTTACAGAGAGGGGAAAGCAGGAAGAAAGAGAGGGAGAGAGACATTGATGCCAGAGAGAAACATAAACCGTTTGCCTCTGGTATGCCCCCTGGGGACCAAACCGAGGCATGCACTTTGACTGGGAATAGAACCGGTGACCCTTTGCTTTATGGGACAATGTGCAGCCCATTGAATCACACTGGTTGGGGCAAGAGTGGAAAAAAAACTTTTAAATAAAAACTCACCAGTAAAAATAACTTACTCTGTATGTGTATAAACTAGTGGACTCTGAGCCCCTGATAAAGACTAATGATTCCTAGCCAGAGCAGGATGTTGAGAGCAGTCAGAACTGCAGTGGAAGTCTGAGGCTCTTTGTGGCCTGTTATTGCTCCAGTGAAAGAGGCTGGCAGGCAGCATCATCAGACGGACAGCTTTTTCTGCAGACCAGATATTGTGTACAACCTAATTACACTTACCTTTGGCTGTGGCTGATAGGGCTTGCCATGATAGATGGTGCTGTGACTCTGACCCGGAGGGTTCTTTCATTTCTCATTGCTTCCTGTTCCTCTTACTGCTCAAATGCTTAACAATCAGTTCAGACTTCCTCTTATATCGAGCAAATGCCAGTGTTCCAGCCTTGGACTGGAGAGGTTTGTTGCTGTCACAGGCTTCTGTAAAGTAGGCCAGGAAGGTGTTACGCTATGGCTACAATCCACATGGCATTGTGGACCATGGTGGATGAATCTGTATCCAAAAAGGTTGGGAACTGGCCATGCTACAGTGAGGGAAGAGTTTGTTTCAGATCAAGGGAAACTGTGTGCTTTGAAAAGTCAGTTCAAAAGGAGCTGAGGCCTTATTGAATGTTTCCTTTGTAGGGACACAGAGCAAACCCAGCAATAAATCACTAGGACTGGGGATTAGGGAAATTCAGCTCTCCTCCACCAACCAGCACCCCTTTACTTCCAATGTTCTTGAGGAGATAGTCCTGCCTATGGAGACAGAAGACTCAGAACTGTTTAAAGTCAAAGGAGATATACAGTCTGCCCCAATGAAACCCATGAA